TCTAAAACTGGAAACTTTGGCAAACCATGTGCACTGTCGCCCTGCTTAGGTAATCCATGCATTGGATATCTTTGTGTAATATTTGAATCAATAACTAATTAATGACTCCTGAAAATAATTATGAAACTCTGGACCTCATTTGGACTTGGGAAATTCAAAGGCCCCTTGAATTCAAAAAATTGTTCTTACAATGAAGTTTGTTCTGAGTTCTCAACTCTATAAAAAGACTAAAGGCAAAACAGAAATAATTTATGATGTATTGCCACAGAATTGTAAAATATTACTATAGCAATCTTTGAAATAACTTTGGAATGAAACAAATTGCTTTCCTTTTCAGACACCTCAAACAAAGGCAAAAATGAGACTCCTATTGTGGTTTTATTTTTTCGTAAATATAACATCACACAGATCCATGCACACAGTCGGTACCAAGTAAATCATTTGTTGATTCATTAAAAGCATTGGATATTTTAAAATATTTCTAACAGAAAGATCTCCCGTGCTCATAGATTGGTAGGACTAACATAGTGATAATATCCATCTGGCCAAAAGCAATCTACAGATTCAATGCAATCTCCATCAGAATGCCAACAAAATTCTTTACAGAACTTGAAAGAAAGGTTCTCAGCTTCATAAGGAGAAACAAAACAAACAAAAAAACCCAACCAACCAAACAAACAAACAAAAAAAAACCTGAATTTCCAAAACGATCCTGTACAACAACAGGTCATCTGGAAGTATCTCCATCCCTGACCTCAAGCTGTACTGCAGAGCAATAGTAATAAAAACGGCACGGTATTGGCATAAAAACAGAAAGGAGGATCAATGGAACCGAATTCTGCACAAATTTTGGCTATGATTCTCAGCATCTGCTTTAATATCTTGCAGGGTACAGTCTTTCAAAAGTCCTCTGTAGTAGGCTCCTGTCCTGTACCCTGTTTTCTTCTTCTTCCAATGTCCATCTGGTTTGCCTTTCTGAGTGAGGATTAATTATTTTACACAGTGTCTTCCTTCTTGCTTAGCTTCTTTAGGTGTACAGATTTTAGTATGTTTATCCTATATTATATGTCTAGTATCCACTTATAAGTGTGTATATACCTTGTGTGTCTTTCTGCTTCTGGGATAACTCACTCAGGATGATCTTTTCTACACCCTACGATTTGTCTGCAAATTTCATGATTTCCTTGTTTTTAACTGCTGAGTAGTGTTCCATTTTGTAATTGTAGGACAATTTCTGTATCCATTCCTCAAATGAAGAACATCTGCTTGTTTCAATATTCAGGCTATTATAAATAAAGCTGCTAAAAACATGGCTGAGCAAATGTCCTTGTCGTATACTTGAGCATATTTTGGATATATGCCTAGTAATGGTATAGCTGGATCTTGAGGTAGCATTATTTCTACTTGTCTGAAAAAGCACCAGATTGATTTCCAAAGTGGTTGTACAAGTTTACATTCCCACTAGCAATGGAGGAGGGTTCCCTTTTCTCCACATCCCTTTCCAGTGTGTGTTGTCACTTGAGTTTTTGATTTTAGCAATTCTGATGGGTGTAAGGTGAATTCTCAGGGTTGTTTTGATTTGCATTTCCCTGGTGACTAAGGATGGTAAGCATTTCTTAAATTGTTTCTCTGTCATTCTATATTCCTCTATTGAGAATTCTCTGTTTAGCTCTGTACCCCCTTTTAAAAATTGGATTGCTTGATTTGTTGCTCTTTAACTTCTTGAGTTTATATATTCTGAATATTAGCCCTCTGTCAGATATAGGGTTGGTGAAGATCCTTTCCCAATCTGTAAACTGTAATTTTGTCCTGAGGACAATGTCCTTTGTTTTACAGAAGCTTTTTAGTTTCATGAGGTCCCATTTATTGATTGTTGATCTTAGAGCCTGTCCTGTTGTTGTTCTGCTCAGGAAGTTGTTCCTGAGTTCACTGTTCCAATGAGTTCTAGGCTCTTCCCCACTTTTTCCTCTAACTGATTTAGTGTGTCTGTTTTTATGTTGAGGTCTTTGATCCACTTGGACTTTAGTTTTGTGCAGAGTGATAAATATAGATCTATTTGCATTTCTTTACATGTAGACATCCAGTTGGACCAGCACCATTTGTTGAAGATGCTGTCTTTTTTCCATTGTATGGTTTTGTCTTCTTTGTCAAAAATCAAGTATCTGTAGGTGTGTGGGTTTATTTCTAGGTCTTCTATTAGATTCCATTGGTGCACCATGCTGTTCCTATGCCGTGATACCATGCAGTTTTTATTACTATTGCTCTGTAGTACACCTTGAGATCAGGGATAGAGATACCTCCAGACGATCTGTTGTTGTACAAGATTGTTTTAGCAATTCTGGGGTTTTTTGTTTTTCCATTTGAAATTAAGAATTGTTCTTCCAAGGTCTGTAAGGAATTGCATTGGTATTTTGATGGGAATTGCATTGAATCCGTGGATTGCTTTTGTCAGGATGGCCATTTTCACTGTTAATACCACTGATCTGTGAGCATGGGATATCTTTACATCTTCTGATATATTCTTCAATTTCTTTCTTTTTTTCAAACAGGTCTTTTACTTGCTCGATTAGAGTCACCCCAAGGTACGTTATGTTATTAGTGGATATTGTGAAAGATGTTTCTCTAATTTCTTTTTCAGACCTTTTTTTTTCTTTCGTATTTAGGAGGGCTACTGATTGTTTTTTGTTTTGTTTTCGGTTTTTTTTGTTTTTGTTTTTGTTTTTTGTTTTTTGTTTTTTTAGTTTATTTTGTATCCAACCATTTTTTCTTAAGGTGTTTATCAGCTGAAGGAGTTCTCTGATTGAACTTTTGGGCTCACTCATATATACAATCATATCATCTTCAAAGACTGATACTTTGACTTCTTCCTTTTTTAACTGAATCCACTTGATCTCCTTTAGTTGTCTTATTTCTCTAGCTAGGACTTCAAGTATATGTTGAAAAGATATGGAGAGAGTGAGCAGCCTTGCCTTGTCCCTGATATCACTGGGATTGATTTAAGTTTCTTTCTGTTTAGTTTGATGTTGTCTATAGGCTTGCTGTATATTGTCTTTACTATGTTTAGGTATGTGCCTTGTATCCTTGATCTCTCCAAGACTTTAAACATGAATCTGTATTGGATTTTGTCAAATGATTTTTCAGCATCCAAGGAGATGATCCTGTGGTTTTTCTTCTTCAGTTTTTTTTATTTTTTGTTTTTTTTTTTTGTTTTTTTGATATGGTGGATTACATTGATGAATTTCCGTATATTGAACCACCCCTGCATGCCTGGGATGACGCTTACTTGGTCATGATGGATGATATCTTTTATATGTTCTTGGACTCGGTTTGCAAGGGTTTTATTGAGTAATTTTGCATTAATGTTCATTAAAGAGATAGGTCTAAAGTTTTCCTTTTTTATTGGATCTTTGCATGGTTTAGGTATCAAGGTGACCTTGGCTTCATAGAGTCAGTTTGGTAATGTTTCTTCTGTTTATATTTTGTGGAATAATTTGAAGAGAATTGGAATCAGTTATTCTTTGAAGATCTGGTGGAGTTCTACACTGAAACCATCAGGTCCTTGTTTTGTTTTTGTTTTGTCAGGGAGAATTTTGATGATTGGGTGATATAGGACTGCTTAATCTATTTATCTGATCTTAGTTTAGCTTCCGTAATGGAATCTATCAAGAAAATTGTCCATTTCAGGCTTTTGTTGTAAGACCTAATGGTTATTTGGATTTCCTCAGTGTCTGCCATTATATCCCCCTCTTTGTTTCTGGTTTTGCAGATTTGAATAGTTTCTCCCTGTCTTTTAGTTAGTTTGTCTAAGGGTTTGTTTATCTTGTTGATTTTCTCAATTATCAGCTCTAGGTCCCAGTGATTCTTTGAATTGTTGTTGTTGGTTCTAATTCATTGATTTCAGCTCTGAGTTTGATTATTTCCAATCATCTACTCCTCTTGGGTGTGTCTGCTTCTTTTTTTTTCCCCTAGGCATTTTCTTTGTGCCCTTAAGTTGCTTGTATTAGATGTCTCAAACTTCTTTCTGGAGGCATTTAGTGCTATGAACTTTCTTCTTAGCACTGCTCTCATTGTGTCCCATAAAGTTGGGTATGTTGTACTTTCATTTTCACTGAAGTTTAGGAAGTCTCTTATTTTTTTTTTATTTCTACCTTGACCAAGCTCTTGTTTAGTAGAGAGTTGTTTAGTTTCCATGTGTATGTATGCTTTTTGTTTTTTCTGTTGTTGTTGAGGTCTAGTTTTAAGTGATGGTGGTCTGATAAGATACAAGGGATTATTTTTATCTTCTTGTATCTGTTGAGGCTTGCTTTGTGCCCGACTAGATGGTCACTTTTTAAGAAGGTTCCATGAGGTGCTGAAAAGAAGGTATACTCTTTTGAGTTTGTGTGAAAAGTTCTGTAGACATCTGTTAGATCCATTTGATTTAGGACCTCTGTAAGTATCATTATTTCCCTAGTTAGCTTCTGTCTAAATGATCTGTCCCTTTTTGAGAGTAGAGTGTTGAAGTCTCCCACTATTAATGTGTTGGGATCTATGTGTGATTTCAGCTTTAATAATGTTTCATTTATGAATGCAGGTGTTCTTGTGTTTGAGGCATAGATGTTCAGGACTGTGATGTCCTCCTGGTGCAGTTTTCCTTTGATGAGAATGAAGTGCCCCTCCTCATCTTCTTTGATTAATTTTAGTTGAAAGTCTATTTTATTAGATATTATGATAGCTACCCCAGCTTGTTTTCTGGGTCCATTTGCTAGAAAAATATTTCTCTAGCCCTTTACTCTGAGGTTGTGTTTATCTTTGTTGCAAAGGTGTGTTTCTTGGATGCAGTAGAATGTTTGATCCTGTTTCTGCAACCATTCTCTTTGTCTGTGTCTTCTTTTTGGAGAGTTGAGTCTGTTGATGTTGATAGATAAAAGTATCCAATGAGTGTTAGTTCTTTTTATTGTGGAGTTGGTGGTGTTATTGTGTTTCAGTGTTTGTTTTCTTTTAATTCTTTGTTGTGATGTAAAAATATGGAACGCTTCACGAATTTGCACGTCATTCTTGTGCAGGGGCCATGCTAATTTTCTCTTTATTGTTCAAATTTTAGTATATGCGCTGCCTAAGCAAGCACTGTTTTTCTTTTCTTTCTCTTTAATTTTGGTTTAGTAATACTGAGGACTAAAATGTACAATTATTTTTATATTAATTACAGTTTATTCATTTTGTATACCAGCTGTAGTCCCATCCCTCATTCACTTCCAATCCCACCCTTCCTCCCTCATTTCCTCCCATGCCCCTCTCCAAGTCCATTGATAAGGGAGGTCTTCCTCTCCTTTCACCTTATGTACCCTAGCTTATCAGGTCTCACCAGGACTGGCTGCATTGTCTTCCTCTGGCTTAGCAAGGCTGCTCCCCCCTCAGGGAGAGGTGATCATAGAGCAAGCCACTAAGTACTTATTTTAAAAAAATTGCTACTTAACATTCATTAAGTTTTGCTTTAAATGTTGCTCTGTGAAATCCATCACCATATTTATATCAAATCATCTTTTCTTGGGGTGACTCATAGTCACTAACTTAGTTTAACAAAGAAATAAAGATAATCCCAGTCTTAGAGATATAAAATAACCTTAACAGGCAGCTTTATTTCAAGGGATGGTGACCTTTTCCTAACCACAAATATATCCATGCAGAAAATTCAAACTTACTTCCTTCTCCTGTACACAGACCTTCACAATTGCTGGAGTAATAACAACCTTTCAATCTCTTCTGTTTGTCCTTCTTTTCATGGTTCTTCCAAAGTCTGTTGCATGCTTCATCTTACCTTTCAGAAAACTAGAACTAGTAAGCAAGTTATTTATTGTCAACATCTCATTTGTGAAATAAGAATGTGCCCTGACATATGTGAAAAATATGATTTTAATGATTAACAAACATCAGTTTACTAAATAATCATAATAAAACTGCAAGATTATAGGATTATAATTTATATCTTTTTCATTCCATTTACATTTAAAAAATGGAAGCATGTAAAATTCAGAGAGAAGAACAAAGTTTGGTCTTGCTGTGTTTACAACTGTAACAGAGAAAAGAGAGACTGAGGCGTCTGGTTGGAAATGTGTTTCCTAAGCTAATATCTGGTTCTCTTGTATCCACCACAGAATCTCAAATTCGACTTTCTAGCAGCAGGAATTTTTCTCATGAAAGACCTGTATACCACAACAACTATATACAAGGAAATGCACTCTATCATGTCAATGGGGTAAATGTATCAAGAACTGATTGACTTGGACAACATTTTGGCAAGAATGGGGAATATACAAAATAAGTAAAATTAAAAATCATTTCCATCTTTTGCCTCAGGGCTATAATGTAACCTTGAAAGATAACCTTTTAATACACACAGTCAGTCAGAGTGTGGCTTCTCTGAAAGATCTGAAATGCCATGCCCAGTGACAGTTTTGTTGACTCTTAATATTTGTAGTGCTGTTAACATTTCTACCCACATATGCAGCCCCAGCAAAGAAAACAATGAAGCCCTAGCTATGAAAGGCACTTTATGAACCTGTGATATATTATGTTCCTAGGAAGCAGCTGAAGAGACTAAATGTCCTTTTGGGACACAGTCCAGTTAGGAAACATCATTCTTCATTTTTCAAATCTGCCTATTAGGCTTCAGTAAAATAAAATATTATAGTGTCTGTCGTGATACTCACTTATACTAGCTTCCTCAGATCCATTTGCAAAACATCAACATATTTTCTGTATGTATTTGAACACAAAAACGTCTCTGCAAAGAAAAGAAATTACTAATTTGCTTATACTTAGAAGAATGACAATATTCATCACTAATGAAATGTTAGCTGAAACACAATGAATGACAATATTCATTACTAATGAAATGTTAGCTAAAACATAGTAATTCTTTAGAAATGAAAATACTTTGCATTGGATTCTTCCTTCTTTTAGTCCTAGCATCAATTACTGATAACCTAGGTCATCAGTGTTGCTTGTAAGAAGATGAAGTTTAAAGCTTGGTAGAGTTTGGGTAAAGAGTCTCATGGACAGGGAATGTTGGTTGAATGTAGAACATATTCATGGGTCTATGTTTTAAGGAAGGAAGACAAAGATAGATAGAAATAAAGATAAGCATACAGCTAATTTTGAATATACTAAAAATAAAAATTTATAAATTTCTATGATATTTGGTACTATGTGTTATGGATATTTTTTACCATGAATTGGTATACTTTGTAGAATATTAACAAACATTGTCTTTGTTTAATATCTAATAAAGGGAACACATTCCTATCAATTGGAAATGGCTGAACATCTAAACTACATGGTAGATATATTTTTAAATTTTTGATGACCCTCTGAACTGTTGTTATTTTTTTTAATGGTTGCATCAACTTACTTTCCCACCAGTGCTGTGCCAAGTTTCCCTTTACTCCACATTCTCATCACTATTTCTTATAATCATTTTCTTAAACGCTATTCATAGGATATCCAAGATGGTGGCGCCAGGAGGACACTGTGTCTAAGGAGAAGGACAGCAGTGTTGGCACAGTGGCATTGAATTCTGGGCCCTAAAACACCAGTGATTGCAATTTCCAGGTGAGAGGAAAACCCACGGTGCTGGAAGCAATGAGGCCCAGGTCACCCAGCTAAAACCGGGAAGAGTTCCACGTTCCCCAGACAAGAGCCACAAGCCTACATGTTCTGATCACCTTCCCAGGCTGAACTGTGGGCACCAAAACACCAGAGACTGGGATTCCCAGTTGTGAGAAAACCCCACAGGGAAGGAAGGATAATGGGACTGACCTCAGGTCACCCAGTCTTTCCCTGGAAAAGGTCCTGGGGACTGGCAGAAGCATAGCCGCAAGTCCAGAGCAAGAAACCCGCCTCCAGCCCAGAAACCTGTTGTGTGTCCAACTCTGACACGGACAGAACTGTGCTCCTCAGGGCACCAGAGACTAGGTTTCACCGTCAGGAGAAAACCCCACAGCAAGGGAAACACCAGGTCCCAGCTTAGAGCATTCAACCAACCACCACTCCACACACGGAAATCTTCTAGGGAAAAATTCCCAGGTTTGTGCAGGCACACAGTCACCAGCTTAAAGTCACCAAACGCCAGTGCCTGTGCATTCTACGCACCACCCCAGATGGAATTGTGGACCTCAATACACCAAAGACTGGGTCTCCCTGTTGGGAGGGAACCCCACGGTGTGTGGGGGTATATCTGGCACTACCTCAGGACACCCAGCTCCAAAAACGTTTCAGGGTCCCGGCAGGTTTCAGGCTCTAGACTCCTGCTGCATGAATGAGAGCTGTGCTCAACTGCCACAGATTACCACTTGGGTACTGGGGAACAGAGTTCCAACCTCAGACCTACAGAAGCCTGGGATCCCTGAGATAAGCACCCAGATACCGCTCCGAGGGACAACCAGTCATCCTTAACTAAACTGACCAAACCACAGGGCCCCCAAATTACAGTAGTAGCTCATTAAATTTAAAGCAAGAAACCCAGAAGCAGGGCATCTGTCTCCAGGACTTCTCCAGGTGAGAGAAGAGCCACCTTGACTAAGAAGAACCACAGTTACCACTCAGGTCTCTATGCCTGAGGTAAGCTGTGGCAATTGTTGGAAAACACCGGCCATTCAGTGACCATACCCAAAAAGCTGAGGAGGCCTCCTTCAGGAAAAATCATCTTCCTGCCAAGGGGATTCTCCCCATCCCAGGATTCCAGGAAGCACCAGAAATTAACACTCAATGCCTAAAATAGTCCAATGGGTAGAGACCAGCATAAAGCTCAACCAACAAAAGATAGAGCAATATGGTATCTCCAAAATCCAGTTATCCAAGGGCAAGCAGCCCTGGACACCCCAGCATAAATGAAATTCAAGAAGATGACCTTACATCTATGTTTCTGAAAAGGATAATAGAGGAAACAAATAAAATGCGTAAAGAATTAGAGGAAGATAAAGTCAAACAGCTCATGTCCATCTGTAAAGAAATAGAGGAAGATAAAGACAAACAGATTATGGCCATCCAAAAATAAATACAGGAAGATTAAGTCAAACAGATTGTGGCCTTTAGAGAGGAAATACTTAAATCACTGAGAGAAATAAAAGAGAGGAATGCTCAAAAAAAAAAAAAAAAAAACAGCTGAAAGAATTGAAGGAAAATACAGTCAGACAGGTTAAGGAAGTCAACAAAACAGCTCAAGATGTGAAGATAGAGTTGAAAAAATTAAAGAAAACACAAATAGAGGAAATCATGGAGAGAAAGAACTTAGTCAAGAAATTAGGAACTACAGAGGCAAACATAACCAATAGACTACAAGAGATAGAAGAAAGAATCTTGGGTGTGGAAGATACAATGGAAGAAATCAATGTATCCATCAAAGAAAATGTTAAATCTAAAAAATTCCTGACACAGACCGTCCAAGAAATCCAAGACAACATGAAAAAACAAAACCAAAGAATAATAAGAATAGAGGAAAAAGAAGATTCCCTCCTCCAAACCCAGAAAATATTTTCAACAAAATCATAGAAGAAAATTTCCCTAACTTAAAGGAGAGGCGTATTAGAATAAAAGAGGCCTACAGAACACCCAATAAATTAGACCACAAAAGAAAATCCTCCTGCCGCATAATAATCAAAACAGATGGATGTTGGATTTTATCAAATGTTTTTTCTGCATCTAAGGAGATTGTTATGTGTTTTTTTTTTTTCAGTTTATTTATATGGTGAATTACATTGATGGATTTCGATATATTGAACCACCTCAGCATACCTGGGATGAAGCCTACTTTGTCAGAGTGGATGATATATTTGATGTGTTCTTGGATTCGGTTTGCAAGTATTTTGTGAGTATTTTTGCATCAATGACAGAGATTGGCCTGAAATTCTCATTCTTTGTTGAGTCTTTGTGATTTTTAGGTATACTGTGGCTTCATAGAATGAGTTAAGTAATGTTCCTTCTGTTTGTGGAATAGTTTGAAGAGTGTTGGTTTTAGCTCTTCTTTGAAGGTATGGTAGAATTCTCTGCTGAGACCATCAGGTCCTGGGCTTTTTATGGATGGGCAACTTTTGATGACTGCTTCAATTTTCATGGGAGTAGGGAGGAATA